GTGATTTCCTTTTGGCATCATATTCAATAGGAAGCATATTGATTCTGAGGGATCCAGGAATTCACTCTGTGGAGGCACGAGGCATGACCTTAGCATTCATTTATTCAAGCATGCCAAAGGAACAGCATCAGACTTTATAATAAGATTCAGCAATATATTTTATAGTTTACCTGTACAGACACAAGGGTAAAATGAACTACTGGTCTCCAAACGGCCATTGAAAGACCAACAAAAAGGGTAACATTTGTGTTATGTGGCGCTAGTTACTTACCATGACCTCGCATCCTGATCAACATAAAATAGGTTGCAGCTGGTTTTCATCTGTACCTGATGACATCTCAAAATACTAACTTGTTGAAAACCTTGTGAAAAAAAAGTCACATAATGTGGGTTTAAACTTACCCAGCTTTCTAGAACCCTCAAAGTGAGACTTTATACAAATAATGGTTTTATTCTTAAACCAAGTTCAGTATTTCTAAAATATTTTTATTTTAGAGAATTTCTGGTGATACAAGATTGAAAGGAAGGTACAGAAATCACCCATACACCTGAATATAGACTTTCGAATAATCAAAATGACTTGGAACAGCACATTTTTTTTCACCAAGGATAAACTACAGAGACTCATGAAGTTCATAGTTTATCTTGGGGTGTATTTTTGTAATTATATGTTCTACAGGGTTAGAAAGAAGTATAATGTGATATATCACTGGACGGCTACATGCAAAAAAATGGGTTGAGAACTCTGCCTAACACCATGTACAAAAGTAAGATCAAAATGGATTAAAGACCTCAATATCAGACCAGAAACCATAAGGTACATTGAAGACAAAGTTGGCAAAACCCTCCATGACATTGAAGCTAATGGTATCTTCAAAGATGCCACGCCACTGGCTGAGCAAGTGAAAACAGAGATAGGTAAATGGGGATATCTTAAACTAAGAAGCTTCTGCACCTCAAAAGAAACAGTGACCAAAATACAAAGACAGAATGGGAAAGGATATTCGCCGAATACACATCTGACAAGGGGTTGATATCAAGGATATACAAAGTACTGGTTGAACTCCACAAGAAGAAAACATCCAACCCCATCAAAAAATGGGGCAATGAAATGAACAGAAACTTTCTCAAAGAAGAAATCCGAATGGCAAAAAAGCACATGAGAAAATGCTCTACATCATTAATCATCAGGGAGATGCAGATCAAAACCACAATGAGATACCATCTCACACCTCAGAGGCTGGCCCACATTCAAAAGAACAAAAGCAACACATGCTGACGCGGATATGGCGAGAAAGGGACACTCCTTCACTGTTGGTGGGAATGTCGACTGGTTCAGCCCTTTCGGAAAACAGTATGGACAATTCTCAAAACATTAGAAATTGAGCTCCCATTTGACCCAGCAATACCACTCCTGGGAATATATCCCAGAGAGGCAAAAATGTATAGTCGAAGTGACATCTGCACTTGTTTGTTCATTGCAGCACTCTTTACAATAGCCAGAAACTGGAAGAAACCTGAATGCCCAAGAACAGATGACTGGTTAAAGAAACTTTGGTACATCTACACAATGGAGTACTATGTAGCTCTTAGAAAAGATGAAGTCATGAAATTTACATACAAGTGGTACAACATGGAAAGTATCATGCTAAGCGAAATAAGTCAGTAAGAGATGGATAGACATAGAAAGATTGCATTCATCTGGGGGATATAAAGTGACAAAATATGAGATTAATACCCAAGAATAGCTGAGATCAGCACCAGGAGGATTACTCCATAGCTTAGAGGCCAGCCGGGCATTCTAGGGGAAAGGGCAGCTCAGATAGAGAAGGGAGCACCAAGTAAAGGGTGTTTGGAGGATCCTCCCAGGAGGGGAGATGCATGTTGAAAGTGGACTATGGACTGAACATGTTTGCCACTCACAACACCCAAAAGGAGAGAGAGAACACAAGGGATTGCCCTGCCACAAAGGCAGGGTGGGAAGGGGGGATGGGGGTGGGAGGGATATTATCCATGGTGGTGGAAAATGGGCACGGGTGGAGGGATGGGTATTTGATCATTGTATAATCGAAACCCAAGCACAAGTACAAAAAAATTGTAAATCTACAACTGTACCTCATGGTGTTTCACTAGTAAAGGCAGTAAAGTAAAGGCCCTTCCATTGTTTATCGATTTGCTCGAGCGGGCCCAGTAACGTCTCCATTGGAGACTTGTTGTTACTGTGTTTGGCATATCGAACACATCACGGGGAGCCTGCCAGGCTCTGCCATGCGGGTGAGATACTCTCGGTAGCTTGCCAGGCTCTCCAAGAGGGGCGGAGGAATCGAACTCGGGTCGGCCATGTTGGCTGCGTGTAAGGCAAACGCCCTACCGCTGTGCTATCGCTCCAGCCCTAAAAAAAAAAAAGATAAGCACAGGGGTAGGGTGTTTGCCTTGCACGCAGCCAACATGGCCGACCCGAGTTCGATTCCCCCGCCCCTCTCGGAGAGCCCAGCAAGCTACCGAGAGTATCTCGCCCGCATGGCAGAGCCTGGCAGGCTCCCCGTGATGTGTTCGATATGCCAAACACAGTAACAACAAAGTCTCCAATGGAGACGTTACTGGGCCTGCTCGAGCAAAATCGATGATCAACGGGAGGACCTTTACCTTTACCTTAAGCAAAAAAATAATAATAATAAAATAAAATTACAAAAGCAAAAAAAAAGAATTATAATGTGATATATACCCATCATTATAAAATCATACAGACTATTTTCACTAAAATTCTCTCCTCTTTTTCTCCACCCATTCTGGTAATCATTAATCTTTTTAGTGTCCCCATAGTTTTGCCTTGTACAGATAATATCCTTGGAATCAGCACATAAACTTTGTAAATTGGCTTCTTTCACTTAGAAATTTGCATTTAATGTTCTTCCATGTCTTTTCTTGGCTCGACAGCTCTTTTCATTTTAGCGCTGTCTGAATTTTTAGCACCAGTCTGAAAACACTAGGCTATTTAACCATTTTCCTACCGAAGGATATCTTGTACTATAACACCAATGTGAAGGCTCTCCCCTTCCAGAAGACAACCAACCAACACTTTAACTACACTATTCTGCTGTTTCTAAGCCACATCCAGTAGTTCTCAGGGTTTACTTCTGGTCCTGGCTGGGCTCTCACAGGACCATTTGTGGTACCTAGGATGGAACCTGGGTAGGCTGCAAGCAAGGTACACGCACTACCAGCTGTTTATCTCTCCAGTCCCTCCTCATACTCTTTATTTTCTACCACCCACAAAGCTGGTCAAGGCAGAAAATGATTAGCTGTCTTTGATTTTTCCTGTCAACTTCCTTGATGGTAACAATTCTATTCCTAATTCAATCCATTCCATTTACACCAATCACATAGTCAATCCACCTTTTGTTCTCATACATACTAACACAAGAATCACCAAATATGATCATCAGAACTTTGACTTCTACAGTCTCCACTTCCCTAGCATTCTAAATCATAAAAATTAGTAGCCCAGAAACAACAAAAGTAGGCTTACTGAAGGAGCAATCTTTTCAACTAGAATTCTCTTGTAGGCCTTTACCATTCTCTATTACACTGATCCTCTTCTACTCTCCAATAAGTCTTTACCATCACACATCCTTCAAACCCAGGCTAATTCCTTCTCAGGGGAACCTTCTAACCTCAAGGACAACTGAAAAAAAAAAATCCCTCTTCTAACCTGAGCATTTAGCACATTCCTTAGGATTTAGTATTCCTTAATAAACAATTGCTACTATTAATTAAATCACTAACAGCTCCACATGTAAGCATAATCCTTTCAACACTTCCTCTTCTCTGTTTATTTAACAATTCACTCATTTCCACATTTTTATTCAATACACATACCAGAAATTCAAGTACTTAGGTTTATTTGGGATAAAAAGTTTCCATTTTTTGCAAAAATTTAAAAAACAAACAAAACGCTCCCCAAATTGGAAAGCCCACCGCTATTCAACGATACTAATTTCTGCTTATCAAACAGAATCAAGCCAAAATGTTCTCACAGATCACTGAGCTTTGAAAGATTCAGTGGCAAGGATTTTAATGAATCCTGGATGTATTTTCAAAGTATCACAAAGATCACTGTCAAAATCAATAATAACTCGGCAGTGCAGGTATGATTTGGGAGTCGTCTTTAGTTTCGACACTTGTCAATCATGAATGACTCTAAAATCAGTTACTAACTACCACCTCAAGTTCAGCATTGAAAACAATTTAAAATCCAAGACACGACTCTAAATTACCTGGGGTTTTTTTTTTTACACATACTAAATTCATACTCTAATAAGAAAGCTTTCAATTCAGAGTTCACAAAGCAGGAGAAAAAGAAAGGGCATACACACCTCATTCTTTTCAGGTAAGAGTGGGGAGAGAAACTTTTTTTTTCCCTGTTATTTGCAGCTGCCTTAATACCAAACGACAATTAAATGTGTGAACAAGGTTGTCAGAGTAACACTTGTCATTCACACCACTTATGGAAGACACTCCAAGACTTCCAGAAACACTAATTAAAATTAACAAAAGCTTCTCCGGGGGACTTGTTAAAGAAGTAGATTTTATCGTTTAGTGTCTGGACAGGGGAAAACTAAACTGTCTCAGAGCCCACAGGTTTCTAATCTAAAGTCTAATTACCAACTCACCAACCACGGGTACTAAACGCGCTAACCCCAGACACCCAGAAAGCAACTCAGAAAGGTAAAGGTCAGGGTCGCAGGTTCCTCGATGTCCCAAAACCATTTCGAAAAGATCTCAGGCGGAGGAGGAAGGCGAATTTTTCTCTCTGAAATAATACAGAGGTGAGAGGAAAGGGGCACCGTCTGTCTTCCCCTCTCGACTTTCCTGCGGAGACAGGTGCAAAGCTCCTGAGGTAACTCAAGCTAGATTGCGAGCGTGCCACCACCCTCCCCTTTAACCCTGCAGCAATGAAAGCGCCCACACAGAGAAGACAGCTGCATGACAGTACCCACCTCGCGATCAAAGCACCCCGGGAAACTCTCCCCCACGACTCAGGTGGGCCTCTCTCACCTGGCCTCCGCACAAGTCCGCTACCCTGACGTAGAGCGCACTTTTCAGCAAGCCACTTTGTGATTGGTGGACTTGGGAAGGACGCCTTAGTCCTATTGGCTGAGAGCGCCGCCAGGCGGGGCCAAGGGGGCGGGAGTTTGGGACCGGCTCTGACAGACCCGCGGCTTTCGTTCCCAGAGTTCCTATTGGGTCAGCACCCTCAGTGCCAAGATGGCGGCAGTGGAGACCTGCGGCGGCGGCGGCGGCGGCGGCGGCACCGGGACTGCGGGTTCCGTTTCGGCGACAGCCAGCAAAAGCAACGTGACCAGTTTCCAGAGGAAAGGTCCTCGAGCTGGCGGCGCCGACAGTGGCGGCTCCCGACTGGTGTCCATCGCGGGCACGAGACCGTCGGTGCGGAATGGACAGCTGCTGGTATCAACCGGGCTCCCAGCCCTGGACCAGCTCTTAGGTCGGTTCAGAACTGAGATCTGGGCTCAGCCGTGGGAAAACTTAGGGAGGGAACCTGTCTGGGAGCCACCCTAACCCCAACCCCACTCTCTCTGTCTCTCTCTGCCCCGATGCTCTCCAGCATCTCGAGGGTGGAAAGAAGTGTCCACGTTTGACGGAGATGGAAGGGCGGAAAGGTTGCATGAAGAACTGTAAACGCTGTTTATTAAGCCTGCTTTTCATCCTCCCACTTTCTGCCCTCCCTTACGTGCTTCCCCCCCCGAAATGCTTTTTGCTGAAAGGAAAAACCATTCACTTTTAACATCTCGTTTAGCCTTCATCCAGGATCCCCTCTGGGGTGTCTTGAGCACGGTCTGAACTAACTTATAAAACTTTGTATCACTGTCTGAGGCGCGCTTATGAGAAACTGCTGCAATGAGTAACTTCCCTTAAGGCATCGCCAGGCTGCTTGCCTCCTGGGTTCTGAATCTTTGCAACAAATCATATTGGCTTTAAGAGAACCGATGTTAGTTACTGATTCCATGTAATGCAAGCCAGTAGTTGATAATGGCATCTACACCCATATCTGCGTTAAATATTTGTGTATGTTCTTTGTTGTTAACATTTTTACATAGCGTTTGCTCCCCAGAGTTACATTCCAGGCGGTATGTTTAAAATTAATTCAGAGTATCACAAATTTTCAGGCTTTCCTGTACAATCTCTGGGGTTTTTAATGAGAAGCCTGACTGTGCATGTTGTTAGTAGAACAGAGCGATTGTGTAAATAAAGCTTATATGTAAGTTGATTTCTTCATTAAAACTGATTTGTGTTTCTACTTCAAATTTTTTTTCAGAGTTTGTGATACGTGTCTTGTAACTCGTGTACACTTTCTCATAAGTGGGTACCGATGCTATTGCTTGTACTTCACTTGACATTTCTTATAATATATATATATATTAAATTTTTCTTTTAACCTGAGAGATAAATGTTTCAGATATTCGGGTAGGATTAGTACAAGAAAAACTGGCAAGCCTAGGAATCTCTGAAAAGTAGGATATGGCTTATGGCCTCTCTTATCTCAGTCCTACCTGGATCCTGGGTATTTCTACATAAATTTAAGTACTTTCACTTACTTCTGTCAAGTCTGTTTAGATGAAGATTACATGAGCAATAAAGAGAATTGATTCAGAATATCTAGTTAGCAAATGTGTGTCTCATTTATTTCTCCTTGTGAGCTTTTGGTGGCATCATCCTATATATGAATTTTAATCCTGGATGATGTTCCTATCCTTTTTGTTCTTTAATTTAATGGAGATATGTATCATCATCCACTGAATCTGACTATGAAACTCTCCCTGGAAATGGCTCACATATGACAATGTATCTCAAAGTTCCTCATTATAGCAAAGTGTATCTAGTACTTAGCAAGAAAAAACCTGGACAAGATATTACGAAACATGTAAATTGGAGATAGGTACCTGAGCTCTGAAGCATTCAGAAATTTAGAGTCAGAAGAAATTAAGAGTCAAAATTAAGAGTTCGACCTAATCTCTTGGTCCCAATTTAGGGTGTTGCACCTTGCTATAGCAATGTTAGATTTTTGAGACCTCTTACCGGGTGGTTTTAGCTACTTTTCTAAAATGAGGCTAAAGATTTAACTATAGTGACCTATTAGACCACCAACTTCCTCACATGTTAATACAGAGATATAAAATTAAACTGTAAATTTAGCCTGTCTTCCTTGTAACAATCTTTTTTCTAAAAGTATAGTATTCAATTTTTTTAAATAAATGTGAATCTTCAGATTTGGGGGATGTATTTTGCATGTATGCAGTTAAATATCAAAGGTCATCATTATGTGGAATAATATACAGAGTATCTTAGTTTCTTTTCAATGGAATTTTAATATTTTTTATTTTCTATTTTGTATAGCCCTGTGCATTAAACCTTTTACTGTTCATTGAAGCACTAGTTGAAATTGAAACACTTGCCCACAATTGTTTATATACATTAGTATATAAAAGTATAAACACATCAAATTATATTGTTACTCTAAAACAATATTGACTCAGTTTGTGTCATATTGTGACAAAATATAACAATGATGGGTGTTATAATATCAAGATTTTGAAATTACATTCATATCATTGTTGCCTAAATAAATTCTGTGATTACTATATAACTATTGACCTTTTATTTCTACCACAGACCTCATTTACTTTCAGGCATAGGTACATTTGAAAGACATCATGAAGGCTTAATGAATGTTAGTCATTTGATGATGTCATTTCTTTCTCCAAAATGTATCATAAATTTGAAGTCTCTATCTTGAAAACATGATATAATAATCAGTTTTATCTTTTTTTTTTGCAATTGGCTCACACCTGGTGATGCACAGGGGGTCTCCTGGCTCTACACTCACGAATCACTCCTGATGGTGCTCAGGGGACCATATGGGATGTTGGGAATCGAACCCGGGTCAGCCACGTGCAAGGCAAATGCCCTACCTGCTCTGCTATCGCCCCAGCCCCTCAGTTTTGTCTTTGACAATATAATTTTATTGTTAGAAATTGAGAAATATGTCCCAAGTTGACTACATTAAAAAATTTCAAGTTCTTAGGTTTCCTAAAGCAGAATCCGCCTTCCCGAGATACATGGTTTGTAATATATGGAAAAAACACACCTACTAGAAAATGAAAGGGTCTTGCTTGGATAAATATTCCATCTCTCTTACTATAAACATTTCCAAAATGATACATAAAAGATAAGGGTTGTGTCAGAATTTCTTTTCCTTAGGATACAAGGCATAGGTTATTTTAGGATTTGATTGTCACTGGGGAAGGGGATTGATCCCCACTCTCATCTTTCAAAAAGGTAAGTACCATTTTTGAAGGAAAGGTGTAGAAATAAAACCAAGAATTTAATGAGTAACTTAGCAAGTATATTGATGATATCTCCTAGGCATGACTAAAGGGAAGACGAGGCAACATACCAAACCATATTCTCCTTGCTGCTTTATTATAGAAGTGAGATTGTTTACTTCCACCATACTCATCAAACAATTTGGTGAACTACTGGGAAAAATATTTCTTTTGAACTAAGAAATATTGGTGTGAAATATTTCACCTTTGAAATTACCAAATTCAAATATAAAAGCTACCTCTCATTGAATATATTACTCTCAAGACATCCTATCACTGTTATTTACACCTTTTATTTCTTGGCAGGGAAAGAGTACATATGTATTCAGGTCACTAGTGTAAAATATAGCTGGATTTTCAGTACTTCATGTGATAATAAAAATAACTTAAGCAAAGGTATTTGAGAGAGATGTTAAGTATTGTGGCCCTAAAATCAAGTTAGAGGAACTTTGCTGTCCTGTGTCTTCATATATGTCTGTGTGTACTTGCCAAAACTTCATATACACATATCTTGATTTTAGTTAATAAAGTGGCATTTTATTTCTCCATGACAAATCTTCAAAATGACCAGCATTTATTAAAGACAATTTAAGTTTGAGTCTAGCATATTTTTATTTTTTTTTATATTAAGAAATGGAAAAATGGTTTTTGGTTTATTTTTTTATTTATTGTGAGATCTCCCCTGGTGATGCTCAGGGCTTATTCCTGACTCTTCACTGAGGAATCACTCTTGGCTGTGCTCAGGATGACATGGGATGCCTGGGATTGAACTCTGGTCAGCAACACGCAAGACATGTACCTTCCCACTATACTATCTCTTCAGCCCCAAGGGCTTTTTTTTTCTAACAGTAGTTCTAATAGGAATAAATTTATCTGATTCATAATTAAAATACTCACATTTTATATAGCATTCAAATTTTAAAGATTAGAATTTTAAAATATGTGACACTTTAAAATTGTGGTTATCAGGAACAGTATGGCGTTCTGATTTTTTTTTCCCAGAGAACTACCTTCATAATCTAATTCATGTAATACTTTTTCTTAATTCATAGTGGGATTCTTACCAACTATTACTGCTATGGTATTCCTACTTTAGGGAATAGTGATATTTTCTAATCAAAATGATTGTCAAAACAGAAGAGATAGCTCTTACTAAGGATCTTTCCAGACCAGACACCTGATAGATAACACTTCCCAAACATTGTTTGGGAAGCTATTCCTTGATATGACCTTCCCACTATAAATAATATTCTCAAAAAAGTCTTTCATTTTATTTCACTGGAGGTTTTATATTCCTAATTTTAGGTAATATAGATGTAGATTCAATGGACATTAGAGAAAAGTCCTTCCTTTAAGAAATAGGTGCACCTAACCTTTTTTTTGTAGAACTTGGATCAAAACTTAAGTACTGAAGAATTAGTTACATGTTTAAATTCCTTATATATATCCAAAACTGAAAATGTGTATTTTTGCATATAATTGTAAAAAGGGAGGTAAGAAATTGTAAAGTGTGATTTTTGAATGTTCAGAAGAGATAAAAAAGATAGCTGCAGGCCCAAAGAGATATTAAAGCATGAGGTAGTACAGCTTGCCCGCCACACCACTGACGGGTTCAATCTCCACCCCAATATGCGGTACCCTGAACACTCGGAGAAATCTTGAGGATAGAAGTCCTGAAACCACTGAATG